TTTGCTGCATGATTCAAATGCCAGTTTCTGCTTTTACCTACCCCTTCTTGCTGACCCCCCCACATATTTCATAATGCCAACCAGCACAAGGAAGAGCCAGCCTTGAGAATAACTCTGGATTTCCCCCATCCCCATTTGTAGGGGAATTTTCAGAAAGGGTGCACATTTTGGAGGTAGGAATTCGAAATCATAATGTGGCAATTAGACCAATAGATGCATAGACGTGAGGGGAAATCTCTGATGCAGGTTAGGAAAATAGGTTATTGTATTGTTGTAGCAAATTGCATCCAAAGATGTATGATTGAGGGCTTTGGACCAGAAAGGAAAAAAAAGGACGAAAGAGCTAAATTTTGTAAATTGATTGGAATTTATCAACCAAACATTTAGGACCCACACTTTAAAATAATACATTTGACAGGATAACACCATAGTTGTGAAGAATTCCTGCTATCCAATAGTAAACCATTCTTCCAGCTGTACAAATTCTCATCTAGATTAATTTAATCTACCCCTTAGTATGTAAGGATATAATTGTTGAAAATAAGAAAGGCCAAAATCTTGTTGCAGTTAAGCAAAAGACATAAATTTTAGCTGCAAAGTGCCGTAAGTTAAGAAATTTCCATAAGCATTATCTGTTGCATAGTGAGGCATTAACTTGGAGTGCAACAGATAATACCTATAGAGAGTTCTTAATTTACAGTAATTCACAACTAAATATTACACCTTTTGGATAACTGCAACAGGATTTTGGCCTTTATATCAAGGGTACGGTAAAGGGATAGGGAACTGCTAGAGCACAAACCAACTATGGAAGCCAACCACATTCTGTCCAGAGCCTGACACTATCCCATAGGCCATGTCCTCTGCTCATGCTGCACCTTGTCTATCCATCCCAGCTACAGCAGCAGCCATGGAACAGGAGCTCTGATGCAGATGAGAAAGGATTGTGGGAGTGCCCGTCATGTACAACGGTATATTAAAAAAACACAAACTCTTTATGCAAGTTCTAACTTGAGACATTACTACCCTCTTTCCCCGAAAATAAGACCAAACCAGAAAATAAGCCCTAGTATGATTTTTCGGGATGCTCATAATATAAGCCCTACTCCAAAAATAAGCCCTAGTTAAGTGAAACCCCACCCTCCATATTTATTTATTTATTTGTTTGATTTATATCCCGCTCATCTAGTAAATTCTACCACTCTGGGCGGTGAACAACAGAATATATACAATTAAAACAATATAAATCATTGAAATCATAGCAGCAAAACATACCAAAAAATGATAAATAATAGATAGCCAAGAGAAAGGAAATTAAATGCTGGCAGGAGGGAAGGCCTGGATGTAAAGTCATGTTTTTAATTGGGTTTTAAATGTACCCAGCGTAGGGGCCGCGCGAATCTCACCATTATGCAGCATTGTGCAGCAACTAGGAAGATGACATGACTGTAAAATAAAACATCCTTTGAAAATAAGCCCTAATGCGTGTTTCGGAGCAAAAATTAATATAAGACCCTGTCTTATTTTCAGGGAAACACGGTAGGAAGGTGGGCAAACACAGAAAAGCCAACTATTAGGCTGAAGATGCCATAGCCACAATATTTATGATGACACTTGTCCTTTTTTCTGTTACTAGCTTTATATCTTTTTGAATAACACAGGGAGTTGGACCAGGCATCAAGTGTAATGGTTTTAAAAGTCACTTGTCAGTCTTCATCCAGTCTCTTTCCTGTTATAAAATTCTCAGAGTTGAAGAAAAGAGAGATCCTAGAGAAACTCAACAGGCTTGGGCAGACTTCAGCATGAAATAAGGCTCCTTTCCTCTTTTATAGCTCACCATGGCTAGCCGCATTTGTTCCAGGTTTAGTTGGTTAACCATGTTCTAATAATTTGTCCTTTTTTTCCTCAGAGTGTTCCGAGCACAACCAGTCAGCCTGAGCTTACCTTTAAAAGACTAAAAGTGAAGCGATACAATGGTACGCTGGTCCTTTATTGTTCTTTCTTGACTGTCTTGTTCGAATGCTTAGAGCAATGCTCATTTCTGATGAATGGCAGAAACTAAACACTAAAGACCGAAAGAGTAACAGAAAACCTTGAAATGAAGATAGGTTTTCATTCCAGTGGTGCAGAGATTACAATGGCTTCTATGACTAATTAGGTCAATTATGTATTCTCCAGTGTTTGGAAGTAAAGTGTTACAAGTAATGTTACCTGCTACAGGTTACCTTTTTATGGCAAAGGAACAACGTTAATCTAACAAAACAAAAATAAAATATTGTAACACTGTTCATCACATTGTGTAGTAATCAAGTCAAGTATCCTTTTAAATAGTTAAAAAAAACTACTGCACCAAAAGGCTCTGTGTAGCTCTTAAGCAAGAAAGCCTCATGGACTATACACACAAAGTACAATAGCTTACTGCTGTGTGGTTTGAATTTTTTACTTGTAAATCAGATACTATACAGTATTTGATCCTATTAAGTATGTAGCATTTTGTATTCATAGGAAGTTTGAAGGCATCTTAAATGAGGCTAGGTAAGAGATAATGTGAGAAAGAGGACAGGGAGATGTCTGCATGCCCCCTGTTGGCATGCTGTACCCTCTTCTCCTAGAGACAGAAGAACATGAAACCTCTAGCTCCCCACCAGAAGCAGGCATAGAGGTAGCAAGTTTAGATTTGACCCCTAGACCTGTTCAGCAGAATGCCTGGGGAAAAAAACCACCACCAGAGGTAGAGGAGTCAGAAGGGGAAGCAGAGAGAAGAGGAGGAGGAAAAGATGGGCAAGAATGAGGAAAGGTCAGAAGACTATCCACCTGAGAATAAGGGGAGAAGGCCACTCAGCTCAGGAAAAGGAGAAGGCAGAAAAGAGTAAAGTGGAAAACATCCAGAGACAGGAATACGTTTAAGAGAAAGTACCTCAAACTGACTTACCTGAGGGATGAGAGCGGGTAACTAGAGGACTCTGTGTGACAGAGGAGTTTGTGCCAGTCACCTCAAAAACCCTCTTTCTGGGATGAGACAGAAAAGAGGGAACACAGAGTGAGAGAGAGGGGGTCTAGAACTATGAAAGCTGTCCGGGAAAGAATGGCCACCAGCCCAAGGGAAGGGATTTAAAGACCACACAGCACACAGAAAGACAAGAAAATCCAGGAGAAAGAGGGAGAGAACCTGGAGGGAGTTGGGCAAGACATTCCAAGATGCATTGCAGCAGCCTCTGCACTTTGTCAACCGCTCACCAAGTCTCAGAGGGTGAGAAACCGAGGAAGCCCCTCAGGCTTAGAGACGACGTTGTGGATTGTTCCAGGAAACGAATGAGTTCAATTCAATCTTTCGAGAACAGAAGTTGAACCGCTTGAAGTTATTGTTGAGAACTTACCTGGTACATTAAATAAAACTATCCAGTCTAAGTCCAAACAGTCTCTGGTCATGAATTTGGAGTTGGGGGATAAGGGCCACTGGAGAAAGGAAACCCACTCAGAGATAGCTTGGTTCCAGAAGAGTTCCCACTGGGGACAGCCTGGCTACCTACAAGAGGGGCATGTTCCTAAGATTCCTTCCCCCTTCTCCCAGGCTTAGGCAGTAAGCTGAGGAAAAAGGAACTGGAGTTATTTACCACTCTCTTTTTTCTGGCTACAAGATTTCCCTCATATGTGGATAGTTTAATGCTTTGTACATTATCTGCTCAGGAGCAGTAAAATGACAATAGACTGTAATAGTCTATAAAGGCTTGTTGTGTCTCCAGGGTCAATAGAAATGGGGATGGATGTCCCTCCTCCTTAAAAAAAGTTGGAATTAGAAATTGTTATGTTGGAAGAGACCTTCCCAAGCAAAATGAATCACAAATTTCGAGGAGGCCAGTCCATTAATACGTTATAGCTTGCCTGTCAAATATAATACCATACCCTTCATAGTTGTAGGATTAAAAAAAATTACTTCCTCACTGCAATGCTAATCAAAGCAGGTGCAGGATAAATTTATGACATTTTTGGCTTGAGACAAGAATCATGTGCAACTCAAGAGTAGTCTCACAAGGCCAAAGCTGCTCCCCAGCTGTGAAGTTCTGTACGTATATATATATAGAGGCACAAGGCAATCAGGTGGCCGTCAGATGTGTATGATCTCATGTTTATGGAGCAATTACTACCACAAAGTGAACTGTGGAGCAGCAACACAGCTTCAAGAAATATGTTAAACACTGCTCCCTCCCAAATCCAAGCAATCCCATATAAAAATCATAACACCCTTCACTTATTCCAAAGGATATTTACTTAAAAAGAAACCAGTTTATTATACAAAATGTCATGGTAAAGTAATCCAAGTTTTTCAGGTACTTCTGCTGCCAGCGAACTGGAGTTATTTACCACTCTCTTTTTTCTGGCTACAAGATTTCCCTCATATGTGGATAGTTTAATGCTTTGTACATTATCTGCTCAGGAGCAGTAAAATGACAATAGACTGTAATAGTCTATAAAGGCTTGTTGTGTCTCCAGGGTCAATAGAAATGGGGATGGATGTCCCTCCTCCTTAAAAAAAGTTGGAATTAGAAATTGTTATGTTGGAAGAGACCTTCCCAAGCAAAATGAATCACAAATTTCGAGGAGGCCAGTCCATTAATAAATACGTTATAGCTTGCCTGTCAAATATAATACCATACCCTTTATAGTTGTAGGATTAAAAAAAATTACTTCCTCACTGCAATGCTAATCAAAGCAGGTGCAGGATAAATTTATGACATTTTTGGCTTGAGACAAGAATCATGTGCAACTCAAGAGTAGTCTCACAAGGCCAAAGCTGCTCCCCAGCTGTGAAGTTCTGTACGTATATATATATAGAGGCACAAGGCAATCAGGTGGCCGTCAGATGTGTATGATCTCATGTTTATGGAGCAATTACTACCACAAAGTGAACTGTGGAGCAGCAACACAGCTTCAAGAAATATGTTAAACACTGCTCCCTCCCAAATCCAAGCAATCCCATATAAAAATCATAACACCCTTCACTTATTCCAAAGGATATTTACTTAAAAAGAAACCAGTTTATTATACAAAATGTCATGGTAAAGTAATCCAAGTTTTTCAGGTACTTCTGCTGCCAGCGTGGTCACCTTATGATCTAGCCTTAAAGGACAGTTCTGAGATGCCAGTAGGACATGTAAAATTAGTTTCATTTTCTTCTGATCTGAAACTGTTGAACAGGTGCTATCCACTGGCAACAGTACAGGTGGTGTAATGGGTTACTCCTTGAACTCCAGAAACTGCTGAAGCCTTTTCTTATGTTCTGAAGACACCTGTACCGCACTAGAGAACAAAACACAAAATAAAAAATTTCAAATCTCAGTCTGACTATGTTAATGTACAACTTAGAAAGTTGTCTATGCCTCTCTGAAAATCTATACAACCCAGCAGTAAAGTGTTGCATGAGACCAAATACAACAGGGGAGAAGTAAGCAAATTTATATCTCAGATATTTACCCCAATCCTGACACAACTTTAACATTACTGGGTGTTCAAAATAATGTGTAAGGGCACAAAGTCTGCAGGAGCAACACATACCAGCCTTGCTCCACCCTTCCATATGCTGGTCCAGCCTTTCTGCTATGATTTTCATAAGTAGGATGTGAAGGACAAAAGGCAGGATCTAAGTACCCTTCAGATCATCCTGATCATCTTTAGATCTCCCTACCACCCTATGAAAGGTGGGAGCAGAGAGCAAGGGGCCAGTACATGTGGCCACATAACCCTTACACGCTTTGTGTTATAAGTATTCTTTTGATCACCCAATGGGACTTTGCTGTGTGCTCATAGGATGTCTAGCATTCTCATTTTTGTTCTGGTGCTTGTTTCCTTAATGAAAGGAAGTCCTTTTTATGTTGCCAGTTAAACTGCAAATTAAAAAGCAACTGCCAATGCAAAGCGATGCAGGAAGGATGGCTGTCATCAAAGAAAACTTTAAAACTTGACCTCCCACTAAATCTCCCAGTCTAAGAGGTAAAGACCCCCCATTAATCTAGGCCAGTGGTTCCCAGCCTGGGGTAGCAAGATGTTCTTGGACTGTAACTCTCAGAAACCCTTGCCAGCACAGCTAGTGGTGAAGGCTTATGGGAGTTGCAGTCTAAGAATATCTGTGAACCTCAGGTTCAGAAACACTGATCTAGGCTATGCAACAAATGGCGTAATGAATATCTATAGAAGTCAAAATGCAAATATCAGCAACAACTCAGAGAAACTGAAAGCCTGTTTTGTTTTACAAAACCTAGACAGAAAGTATGAAACATGTTACAGGCTGACCAGAAGATCTAAGACTTTCTGAGGAGCTCTAACTCTGTTCTTATGCTAAATTAGTAAGCCAATGGTTTCAAATTTTTCTCATGTAGCAGCAGTCATTTGGAAGACCAATCACTCATTTAGGCCCATGGTTGTCTTCCCACTATAGTCATCTGGACTGTCAGTGAAACAGAGGAATGGCAATGCTGGCTTCAACTCCATGGACCAGCACTATAACAGCTGAAAAGGAGTTCATAAGATAAGCTTTTAAGTTGTTCCCATGTGGCTTTAAGACTCTTGAATTAGGCCTTAGAAATATGGTTACACAGCTACACAGAAAGCTATAAAACAATGTGTGAAATCCAGGGGTAAAGAACTTCCCTGTTTTAACACGAGTATGGTTGCCTTTATATGTTCATGTACATTACCACTCATTTGTCAGAAGACCATGTTAAATCTTTTATGTAACTTTCTGCTCTTTACTTCAGAGCGTAGTATGAAATGAACATTAAGGTGACTTTGTTCACCCAAATCTCACTTTAAGTGTTCTCCGAAAGTGGCAGTGATTCGATAGATTGCAGTTTTCAAGGATGCTCTCAAAGCAAACCGAAGGGTTTTGTAGGATGTGTCTGCCAAACTTCCTGAAATTCTGGGAGGCTTGCTGGAGACATAAGGCAGTTTGAAGTGCTTATCTACCACCTAGAATAGAAAGGCGTCTAATGAGAAAACATTCTGAAAGCAAAGAGGTTTGAATTACAGAAAGTTAAATCAGAAAAAGCTTATTTAGAAAAGTATTGATATCCTCCAAGCATCAAGCTTCATGATACCAGTTCAGACCTGGAAAAATCAAAATTATGGCCACTGATGGACATAATCCATTATTTAATTACAGTACTATTCTTATGAGACATTGGTCCTATTTGCACAGACTACATGTTCTTAGTACTGTTCTAGTGTTCATAACCTAAGTTGTGTTTGCCAATGCAACATTTGCCTTCTCTAACGTTCTGGGAAGCCATGAATAAAGAGAATACCAGTAGCTTAATATTATAACATTGCAAGGACTTCAGAGGATAAGTTCTATCATGCTAAATTTTGCTGCTTAGGTACAATTTTTAAATAGCATGCAAATGGAGAAAAATCTGTGCAGCTGGAGTCTGACAACCCCTGATGCCTCACCATTAGAGCCATCCAATTTCTTCTGAGTTGATCTCTGTCTGTTTCCAACTACAATTATTTTCTCTAATTGCATATTTTACCTCCAACAGCGCCCTCCCCCCCAAAAAACCCTTGCTAAAATATTGTTTACTTTGAAAACCTATTAGGGTCGCTATAAGTTTGCCCCGACTTGATGGCACAGAACATACACACAAGATATCAAAAGATATTTAGAAGTAATCTCTTGGGTATCTTTGAGCTCAAGAATGTTGTCTAAAAATTGGCTGAGATATTAAAGTGTGCAGCACTTGTAACAAAGTAACATAAAGCATCCATGACCTCATTATCAGATCTCACATGATTGGCTATGAACACCTTTTGGTGAAGAAAACCAAGCTGTTCCTAATTGCTAAAACCATAATGAGGTCATGCCACGTTTGCGCAGAAGAAATTAAGGCTCCTCACCTCCTGCAGAGTTAGCAAAGTATTCAGAATAGCTGGCAGTGTTGTTTGGACAACTCCATATTTATCTTCAGTAAACGAGGCTGCTACTAGATGTGATAAACCTTCAGCAAAAAACAGTTTATTATTAGGATAGATTATTGCTTAGTCTGGATTGTTTACATTATATCACTTATCATGGGACTCTGAATTTATAAAAAAAAGCTAAATTGTGGCTCCCATTACTCTCTGGCCCAAATACATGGAAAGTTTTTGCCAGTAGCAGTTTAGAGCAGTGAAAAGGTTTGAAGCCTCAAGGTGAAAAACAAAACAGAAAAATTCAATATAGTAAGTTCTACGCTAAGGGCTAATTCCAATTTCTAGTCCCAAATAAAGCAAATCAATTTAAGCAATGGAACTTATATAAATGTTGATTTATCAAAAGCTTATTGATTCAACAGCTATACAGTATCTGTTAGGACTATCAATTGAATGTGCGGTTAATATATTCAGAATAAGTTAACTGCCGGACCAGGTTGTTCTCAATAATATGGCAACTAACAGGAAGACGTAATTAAAATTATTGCAGCTATGCTTTCTCTAAGCCTAGTCACATAGTGTTAAATACTATACCTGTCTTTGAATTTAATAATAGAAAATGAATTTAACTACTACTCAGCACAGAAATCAAAGTAAGTAGCATAAAAAAGTCAACTGGTATTATTGAGCTATGAACTATTTTAGATATGAAGAGAATGCTCACCTTCCAATGCCCAAATGTGCATCTGAGTATCAGAAAAGAGAGCCTGGATTGAGGCCTCAGGATGCTAAAAGAATGCAAAGTGTTTTGCCAGTTAGCCAATCAGGTAAGCAGGATATTTCAAATACTAACAAAAATGAGACTAATCTTAAAACACACTAAACAAAACAATGTACACTCATGTGAACAACTGAATCACAAAAATAAAGCCAAAATGAAGAAGCCATGTGTGAAAAACTAAATTTCTGCTTCCACAGGAATTAAGCTAAGTAGCAGCACATCAGCAAGTATGACCACTTCTATAAAAGCTGAAGTTTTAACAGTTTGTTGGTCTGGAGCATTCAGGTGTGTTTAAAAAATGCCAAAGAGGAAACACATCAGCAATGATCATATAGAAGCAATTGCTGCTTGCCCATGTATCTGGGAAGGGTTATAAGGTAATTTCCAAACAATTTAAAGTCTATCATTCTACAGTGAGGAAGTGGAAAACATTCAAGACAGATCAGACCATGCAATGCTCAGAGAAATTGCGAAAAACCCCAAGAGTTACATCTCAAACTCTACAGGTCTCAGTAAGCATGTTAAATGATAAAGGTCAATGCAGTACAATTAGAAAAAGGCTGAACAAGTATAGTTTGTTTAGAAAGGTTGCAAGGAGAAAGCCTCTTCTCTCGAAAAAGAATAAATCACAAGACTTCTAGAACAGGGTCCTTTGGACACTGACAAGACAAAAGTGGAGATTTTTGGCCATAATGCACAGCACCATGTTTGGCGAAAACCAAACACATCATATCAGCACAAACACTTCATACCAACTGTCAAGCATGGTGGTAGAGTGGTGATGATTTGGGCTTGTTTTCTAGCCACAGCACCTGGGCATCTTGCAATTATTAAGTCAACCATGAACTCCCTGGGCACCTTGCAATTATTAAGTCAACCATGAACTCCTCTGTATACCAAAGTATTCTAGAGTCAAATGTGAGGCCATCTGTTTAAGAGCAACCGCTTGGCGAAAATTAGATCATGCAATATGACAATGATCCCAAGCACACGAGAAAATCTACAACAGAACGGCTGAAAAAGAGTGGGCCAAAACTCCTCCACAATGATGTGAGAGACTGATAAAGTCATACAGAAAACAATTACTTCACGTTATTGCTGCTAAAGGCGTTTCTGCTGGCTATTGAATCAAAAGGTGTACTTAGTTTTTCACACATGGCTTCTCCATTTTGGCTTTATTTTTGTTAAATAAATCACAACACGGTATAATATGTCATGTCTTGTTGCTCATCTGAGGTTATATTTACGTAATTTTCAAACCTGCTAAAGACCAGATGATTTTTATTATGTCCTGATACGCAGAACCATAGAATTCAAGACTGTAAATAGTTAACATTCTGAAACCAAACATCCATGTTACACAAGAACTATTTCAGTGGGTCATATTTTCATTTAATATTATGGTAGATGCAAGTATTAATAATGGTTACTCATAGTACTAACAAGAATTATTTGCTGTTCACCAAATCTCAAGCAGTCAGGCACTCACCCTTACCTTATTGAAAAAATACATTATCAGCACTCGTCTTGACAAGAAGCTTTTCAGCTGAAAGAAGCAGTATTTGAAAAGGTGAAAAACATACATAAAGATCACTAGAGAATAACATTCTATATCCTCAATTTAATACTGTACTTCTACTAAAACAATACTTGAAAATTTGCTGCCTTGACAGCCCAATTGTAAAGTATCATTGGAATTGCTCTCTACATGTTTTTAAGGGAACATACAGTATGTGAAGCTGGCTGGATAGCTCAGTGAGTTAGTTATCTGGCTGTGGAGCCAGAGATTGGTAGTTCAATTCCCCACTGAGCCTCCTGGGAGAAGAGCCAGCCTGTGTGGCTTTGGACAAGCTGTACTGTCCCATAGTGCCTCCAAAATAAGGGAATGGTAAACCACTTCTGAGTACTCTCTACCTAGAAAACCCCAAATAGGACTGCCATAATTCAGAATTGGTTCAACAGCATACAGTACAGTTATCAGTATCATACAGACAAACCCTGCAGATGACTTGATGCACTCATTGTTTAGTATGTGATACTACCTGTTCTTTCTTTTTCTGCAGCCATGTGTAGATAAATTGTGGTTGCACTGCTTCATTAGTACCTTTTGTAATAGCAACCGTGGGATGGGGTTCATGAGGAGAGCCTGTCCACTGCAGATCTGCAAGAGAAACCCAGCCCCTCTATAAGAAACTAAGCAGATGGCCTGATAAATACTCCACTGAGTTATCACAACCACAAATTTCAAAGGCCTTCAAGCTTTGCCACTCGAGGGAGTGTATTGTGTGAAATACAATAAAATGTTTCAAATGTTAAGAGTGGAACAGGAGAAATCTAAACTGAAGTCCCCATTTAGCCAAAACACCCAGTGGATGACCTCACGCCAGTCAATCACTGTCATTCTGAGCTATCACACAGGCTTGTTGTGAGGCTAAAGCAGAGAGGACCTCCAAGTAAACCATCCTGACCTCACTGGAGGAAAGACAGGATTGACATGCAGCTAACAAATTAAAAAGTAGAATGAAACAAAAGAATGGGACAAAATAACTTCTGCTACCTGAACCTGATGTCCATAGTTTTGGTCCTCTTCTCATAATGTGGGGACTTTGGACAGATCCATGCCAAGGAGAGCTTAACTCCAGTGTTCCAGGATTGCGACTCAGAGGAGAAGGGTTGAAAGGTGACCCTAAACTGCTCCCAAGATCCGTTGCAGGCGAAGTTTTAAAAGGCAGCCGAGATGATTTAACCAAAGAGGATATATTAGTTCGTGGAACGGTGTTGAACCTTGGGGTCTGAAACAGGTTCTCTTCAGCGGCCGCTACTACCAAGGAAGAAAATTGAAAAAGGGTAAACCCAGGATGGCTCATCTCAAGCAGCATTTCACAACCACGCACTTCTTGAAGCAACTGCTCCAGCTACAAACTTACATGCAGTATAAAAAAACACAATAATCACTTTTGTACTTGTCAAAAAAGGTGACTATAAAAGTACTGATACCACTTTGAATAAAAGAGCCGAAGTGTACTGCATAGAAGCATCATTTCACTAGAGATATTAACATTCACTGGATTTGGCAATGGAGTTGAAGGAATTAATGTTACCTTTAGAGTTATTTTTCTGTTACTAAAAGCACTGGCCAGAATCCTACCTGTGTTCACAAAAGGTTTACGTAACTTGCCACTGCTAATTGCAACTGACTAATTAGGCACCATGGCATATCTTTCTTGAGCAAGAGGCATGCAACTATCAATTAGCTGTGGTAAGTTAATGCGAACAACAATAAATTTTTTTGGCCAGTGTATTTCTATGCAGTTATTAGTGCCCTGAAACAGACAGCAAAAACAGTTTAGATGTACGCATATATGAATTTGTTTCAGCTTAGCTGAAATTACAATTTATTGAAAGTTGTGGTGCTGAGCACTTCCACGCACAGAAAACACAGATAGAACAGGAGTATGCAAGTGTTTGAACAGCTGTCTGTAGGAGTGAAGATATACAGTATGCTATGGCTCTTCCTGCTGTGATTTGTCTGCATTTACTGGAAATGGTTGAAATGAATTAATATCATCTAAACCAGTGGTTCCAAACCTTGGGTAACCCAGGTGTTCTTGGACTGCAACTCCCAGAAACCCCAGCCAGCACAGCTAGTGGTGAAGGCTTCTGGGAGTTGCAATCCAAAAACACCTGGGTTACCCAAGGTTGGGAACCACACATCTAAACAAGGCTCTGGGAGTTGCAGTCCAAAAACAATGCTCTGCAGAGTCAGAAACTTTGCTTATCGGGATTCCCCGCTGCAAGCTCCGTTAACATGGAGAGGTCAAAGGTAAATGAGACTGGACAGTAGCATGCTTCTCATTTCCTTCCACAGACACCAGTTCTGAATACCTGCATGGGATTAATGAGTTCCCAGTGAACCCCTGCAGAAACAATGGGGGAGATGGCTTCTCCTGGACATAACCAAGGATTGAATGCTCCAGGGGAGCCCTAAAGAGAAGCAGAAGGGCAGAAAGAGGAAAAAAGCAGACCAAAGAAGTCTCCTGCTACGTAGGGAGTGTAAGGAAGATGGAGGAAGAGCTGGGGGGGGGCAGTAAGCAGGGGAAGAGGGAGAGAGAGGACTGGGCCGGCGGCCTTGAGTGGAGTGAAGAGCAGCCAGATTCTAGTACATGCTGGCTTTGCAGCTTCAAAAGGTAACCCCCTCCTTAGCCGACTACATTCCTGACTAGCTGAAAGGGCTCACCTAGAAGGATCCAGGGAAGCTCAATAAAGTCAAGACTCAGCTGTGAATCACCAGAGAGACCAAAGAGAAAGGTCTGGAAAAATGGGAGGACCTGACTCTGACTCAAGAGCATCATTAAGACTAGTTCAAGCATTTGCATCAGTTGGCAAGAGACATTAGGGCAGGGAGACTGATGTTTATAAGCCTTGATGGTAGTTTGTACAGTGGGGTGAGAAAGGTGGTGAAAGTAACTCTCTTCCACTCCCTGAAAAAGGACACTTTGAAGTAGAGCTAATTCCTATATAAATGACCATGTGGAAAGAACTGATCAGTAAAGAAGCCATATGATAAATGCTTTTGTTAGTGTATTTGCGAAGGCTTTCACGGCCGGGATCTAATGGTTGTTGTGGGTTTTTGGGCTCTTTGGCCGTGTTTGTTATTGTTTGAATATTGATTTTGAGCCTTATTTACAATGATGGATGACATCAGGGTGTTGTTTGTGGTTCCCATTCCTTCAGAGAAAATGTACTCCTTCACACTGATATGGCGTTCAACTATGGGAAAACATCCAATAACCATGGCAAAAAATCACTTCCACATAGCATCAGGCATATGTATGTATGTATGTATGTATGTATGTATGCACGCATGCATGCATGCATGCATGTGGAAATGTGTGCCTAGCCCCGGTATTCCTAGGGCTTAGGGATTTGTTTATAAGCCTGGAAATGTATTGAGTGTTTGAATGTATGCTGTGTTTCTGTGCTGTGTGTGGTTGTCTCAATGGAGGTGCATTCAATTTCACTGCACATGTTGTGCATTGACAATAAAGGTTTTATTACTATAAGCTCTCACAAACATGCATCGGAATGTCCACTTTTAAGTAATGAAAAACTGCAAATGAAAGTGCTATCTTGCACTCCTTGTTACTGTTTCATGAGATCAGAGTTAGCACCATGCAGTCCCGTTTCAGTTGTTAAACTATTTCAGAAGTTAAAATATTCCCACTGGACAAACTGGACAAACATAGGCTCAGAGACTCCAAAAGGAGGCATTACAATGTATTTGTCCATTACCTGGAGGGCTAGAGGGTTGTCCCAGGTCACTGACAGGTTGCTGCTTCAATCTCCCATTTGCAGCTGCAGCATCTTGGTGAATTAGCAGTTTCTGTGTCAGATCATTTAGAAGACTCAAGCACTCCCTAGAAATAGAAGTCCAGTTGTGTGGATGGCCACCTTTTAGAGACAAGCAGAATGTACAGTACATTAAAAGCAGAAACAGAGACTAAAAATCTCCTAATAGTTACTTCACAACCTATGATACCACGGTGTAGCAGAGCACTGGCTGATATAAAGTATGTAACTGTACTACTTGTTTCCTTTTTATGGTATGACTTTGGAAGAACAGATGAACACTCTGTAAATGGTATACAATTTTCCAGCCTAATACACACAACCAGGCAAGCCCCCCAAAAACTATAATGTCAGGAAGTGAAATAAGGTTTCCCTACATAGTACATAAACTCGGATGAGTCTCCAACACTCTACAGAAAAGATGCACAGACATGTATAGTACAAGCCTTTTTTTGCTTTGATGCAGAACGAATAATAATTTTATGCACTTATTCCAGTACCACTTCACACTCACCTATGGACACAACAGTGGTAGTTTTCTTTCTAGCAGTAACATGTTCCATACAAAAAAAAAAAAAAAAAAAAAACCACATGTCCTCACTCTTCCCAAATCAAATAAGCATCTCAGCAGGTGCTTCCCACCTTCCAACTGAAAGAAGCATTGAGTATCTTCTAAATACCTGGTTGGCTAAGACTAAAGACTTCTTGACGTCGCACAGAAGAATACTGGGAAAGAAACATCAGGTCCTGTAAAGCCAAGAACTACAGAAAAAAAATATTGAAAATTACTTTTAAAAAGTGCCAAGCTTGAACACTACTTTCCAAAGTTAGTACAGTACTAATGCTTGACCTAATGTTGTACTAATGTTGACCACCTTGATACAGCAAGACAAGAACATTTGGTTCCTTGTTGCTATCTCAGAATACCTCTTATCACAACATTTTTATTTTTTTAAAAATATTCCCAATTATGTTCTCTCTTTATAGAAGCAAAAGCAAGAAAACTGCAGCTACCATACTTTGAGCACATCACAAGACGACACAAAATTCACTGGAAATAATTGCAATGCTTGGAAAAGCAGAAGACAACAGAAAAAAAGGGAAGGCCTAATGTGAGATGGACTAACTCGGTAAAAAAAAAGTCACAAACTTGAACTTGCAAAACTTAAAGAGGGCTATCAATGATAGGACTTTTTGGAAGTCATTAACTCAAATGGTCTCCGTAAGTCAGAAATGACTTGATGGCATGTAACAACATGTTCTCCCACAAAGGCCTCCTCTTTGACTGATACTGATGAAGACGAACAGCCTATTTACTGTACCCACATATGGAACTGTGAATCGTTCATTTTCAACACAAATTACATGGATACGTAGAAAGAAGTGACTGAATCTCTGTTTGTTGGAAAAGTTCTAGTACTAAGAACCTATAATTTTCATTAAGCAGCAGAGTTAGAACTAGCAAAAAACATCACTAGTTTAGATGCTCAAGCCAATGTATAAGGAGTGATTCTGAATAGATTTGTAATAATGTTGAATACATTTAGACTGAAGTAGTAATTATATGGCTAAATTGTTATTTTGACATGAAAATATGGAGCAAACACATTGACTGACAGCCTGGTAATCACACTGAAGGCATACCTTTAAAAGAGATGGAGGATTGCTGCTTAAAATTTTGGGTAAACACTGATCTGCTTCTTCTGCAAAAGTTGGCTGCACAGGAAAGTGATGTGCCTAAAAACAGCACACAATGTGGTAGGAATCAGCATAAGAATATTACTAAGAATCTATTATGAATGGCTGAAATTCTGTTGTGCAAGACGTAACATTTGGAAACTGCTATAAATTAAGAAATCTTCGTAGACATTATCAGTTATGTACTGTCACAAATGCCTACAATAATTCCTTAACTTGCAGCAATACACATTTAAAGTTGCACCGTTTGTGTAAGTGCACAGTACCATTTCAGCCAGTAATAAAATAATCCAATAATCAAATCAGCTTTCATTTAAAAGCAAGATAATGGACGAGGATGTCAACAGAGTCCCGATGGAAAGCAAAGAAAAGGAGCATCAACTTCAACCAAAGACAGGTGAACCTTTGCATAGTCATTTCTATTGCACTGTAATACAAGACGATTTTACTATATTTCTTTAAAAACAAGCAGCAGAAATAGTGAAACTATATGACATGGGATAGCTGTCCCAACACAGTATCCTCCAAATATTGGGAGAGAATGATGGGAATTGTAATCTGACACATTTGGAGTACAGCAAGTAGGGAAAGGGTGGCAAAGAATAATTTATACCAACCTCAGTAGCAAAGATCCTGAAAAGCAACCATGCAATGTACCAGGACATCAGAAGAAACAGACCACACAACCAGCTGTGGTACAGAAGAGAGAAGTCCAGGAGGCCAGACACTGTATCAAGAAGTGGAAGTTTACTAAAATGTTAAAAAAAAGAGAAGTAAATATAATCAGGGGGAGTTCTGTAGAACAGATTCCTTCGTACAAATTTATATTGTCTGGTATACGTCATATAAACAATTAAATTAATCAGTCTGTAGCAAAAAATTATTAATTTTTGTCCTATAAATCCAACAAATAAGCACAAACTAGGTAGGTCAAAAGAGTTATAATAGGGTGATGATTCTACAACTTCTTTCAAGGTGGTTTTCCTAGGTCTGTTTTAAATTTTTAATGCTTTTAAATTAACTAACAGGTGTTTAATTATTATTGCACATTCAATTGCTCCTGAATCTGTAACTTATTGCACTTTTACTATTGGCTCTTTTAACATAGTGAGTCACCTTAGATCTCCTTACTGGGAGAAAGGCAGCCTGCAAATGGTACAAACTAACAAATGTAACCCCTAGTAGAGATAAAGATATAACAAAACAACAATATAAAAAATACTAACCTATCAATCTGAAGATTCATTGTGGTAATCATCCATGCCCTTGGAATATAACCTGAGATGCCAGAAACAGAAAAACCAAGATGCAAAACTACAGTGCTTCCACAGAAAAAGAGGAATATTCATCAGAAAATATATTGTTAAAAATAACATAAATGTTTTTTGAAAACATAAACATCATGACAATTTTAAATAAGATGGTTTAACTATCTTAGCAGAAATGTTTAGTAGACGAGTGCTACCATATCACCTGGAATCCTAACCCAATGGTAAACAATCTCTTATTTTAGGTATTAGCCCAAGGTAGAGTCCCTCCCTGCAATTTAGTCTCTGCAATCCTTGTTACATTTGCTGATTTGGATAGCAATTAAATTATGTTTAGAATAGATTCATAGATATTAATGAAACCCAAAAGTCATGACCAATCTGCCCCGTTAAGGTCAGTGGGTTTACCATAAACACCACTAGGCTTGGAACCAACCCTGTAGAAGCCCTTCCTCATTCGACCAATGAATGCCTCCCATAAAGCCTCTGCCCCATGTGCTCTCTCTTTTTCACACGGTATCTCTGCAAAATTGTCTCTTGGGACCCTACGTATATGTTATCTAACTCCCGTCTCTTAAGGCAGGTTGCAAGATGGCAAGGGAAAGAGAGATGAGTGACAATGCCACCTCTCCCTAGCAGCCTCTGCACTGCCACTTCCCCCTGGCAACTTAAGACTGAGTTGCTTCCATGCCTCAATCTTCCTTCATCCCTTCTAGGATGAAAGCAGCGCACTCTTCTTTCATCTGCTAAGCTGGAGAGAATACAAAGGAAGTCGTCAGCAAGTGATGTGCTGTATGCAGTTCTGTCTCTCATTCAAAAGCACTGGTTACATGCCTAGTGGCTAAATTTGAAAAACATACAGCAGGACACAAACTGTAGCTATATTTTCAAGCTGCTAAGCATGTTAAAGATGTTATTCTCAATGATGTTCTAGCAACTGCTCAATCAAAATTCAATATCCTTGCTGTTCCCATTTTTTAAAAAAATCCCCTTCACATTTTCTCCTCTCCTTCCAGACTAATTTGTTCTGTCGACAACAGTTTTGCCAACAGTGGAAAAGCGCTTCTGAAACACAGACATTTATATTGCTGAAAAATACTGTGCATATATTTCAGAACAGTCAATTTGCAAGGATTCTGAAGGATTATGTTGCCCAACCACCATCCTTATGATGAGCTGAGTAAATAGCCGATGGAGAAGAGGAAAGATCTGCTGCCACACCAGGAAGATCTTCTCTTTCACTGAGCTACGAATGATACGGGAAATTAACAATTACCTGCCATCAAATTGATTATTACTTATGGCAACCCTTGACAGGGTTTTCTAGATATAGTTTTCAAAAGAGTTACCGTGGGGAATCAAACTCTTGACCTTTGTCTCTGCAGCAAGATACCTTATTCACTGCAAACCATGTAGATGCAGCAGCGTGAAAAAGAGGACAGACAGAGACACAACCACTCATATGCCACAACCACATGGAGAACTGATTGTCATCTCTCACAGCAGAATCTATTTTGGTACACGCTACTGGCCCACACTGCCATTCGATTGCATAACCATGATAAAGAGCCTCACAGTTTGACTAGATGCAAATGAAAAACAGATGCTAATGAAACATGGCAGGATAGTCAAAGAGAGAATCATCTTACAGGACCATCATCCCTCTAGTCTAGCATACAGTGGTGCCCCACATGACGACGATAATCCGTTCCGGGAAAATCGCTGTTAAGCGAAATCGTCATCATGCGAAAAGCCTTTCCCCATTGGAATACATTGAAACTCGTTTAATGCGTTCCAATGGGAAAATTACCTCGTCGTCCAGCAAAGATTGCCCATAGAGGAAGCCATTTTCCGAGCGACAATCAGTTGTTAAAATGGCTATCCTGCGGAAAACACAGGGCAGCCATTTTGCGGAGCCGGAATAATCGCTGTCTTGCGAACAAACGGTTCGCGAAGCACGGACCTAATCGACATCCAGCAGAAGTTCCCCATAGGAATGACTGTTTTGCGAATCACTATAGCGATCGCAAAAAGTCACCGTCCTGCAGATTCGTTGTACAGCGGGGTCATCGTCTAGCGAGGTACCACTGTACTTTTCCTTCTTATTTTGAATCTACAAAACTCACAAAAAAGGTGTGAGTGTGATGGTCACCTCCGCTTTGATATCAGCACCTGATAATCAGAAGTATGCTATTAGAACTCTACTCAGAACGAACCCCAAAAGCTTCTGTTCCCATTGAGATCACGTATTGTAAAGGGAGGGGGAAGTGAAACCTTACCGAATAAGTAGTATGCAGCACAAAAATTTCTAACCATATACAGTGACTCCACACAACTGTGTTTTACCAGCAGTGGAAGAGATCTTCTGAAGCGTAGATACTTGTATTGCTGAAAAATATTGCGCATACATTTTAGAAGCAACATTTAAAAGACTTTAGTTATGGTTTCAATCAAAAGTTACATCAGGAATGTCAACCAACACTGAAGATCTTTTAATAAATCTTACTAACAAGACAGGATCCATTTTATTTCATTATTTCTCAACACTTTAATAAAATAGAAACACTATATAAAATTTTCAAATTCCATCAACGCACACCTAAAAAAGGTGTTAGCAAGAAAATCAGAATTACTGAGCTAGAGACTCAGACACAGCATACGTACAGAAGAGAGCTTCAAGAGCAATGGAATCCAGTTTATGAAAACTGCCTCTGCTACAGCCGACAGCACTCACTGAAGTCTCTAAATTTCCGCAGAGACTTCTGGGAACACAAAGGGCTGTAGGAGAAAAGAAGGGACAGGAAAGTCCCCTCTACAAGCTTCCTTCCACACATGATTTATAGCATCTATGTTTATTTATAAATTATTTATATTTTTTAACTGCCTGATAAATATTTTCTAGGCAATATACAAAATATTTATAAGTATAAACTATGTTATCCCTCACCCCCAGTCCTTTGTCCTGATGACAAGCTTATTCAGACCAAGGGGAAGTGAAACCAATATGGAGGATATATCTCCTACCAACTTTCCTCAGACTGAAGAAGCTACTTGGATGAGTAGCGAAACGTTTCAACCTAAGAAGAAAGAAGTCTAGATGCCATGACTCAACTTCCAAATAAAGTCTGAGGTATGTGAGATGTTCACCCCTGCTAGTTCCCACTGACTTTTTGTGGGTGAGAGCAGAGATTTCAATTCAGAGTCCTAATCCAACATTCTATTTCCTCCATCACATTGGTTGTCACGGTGTAAACAGTGTTCTCACATAAGCTATAAATCCCAGATAAATTATATTGTAACTAGAACAAACACATAATGAAAGCAAATGAAATAAAAACACTATAACCTATAACAACAAAGTGAAACCAGCAACAAAGCAGAATGGTATTACAGTCTATTCTTAAAATATCTAGGAGGGTAAAATCGCTTTCATCTAAGTAGTGGAAAGACTGTAAGGTAGAACTAAAATTTTGTACCCACTTCTTGTGGGAGAACCCCTCCTGACACAAAGTGCTCCTGACACAAAGGTGGCCTTAAGGCTCCCCCCATCTCTCAAAAGCTGTAACCAGTAGTCAAGAACATGCAGAAGAAACAACACCAAGCTACCCCAGTGTTTGAACCATAGTCCTGCCATCTTTGATGCACTTACCTGTATGACTGGGAAAGGAAGGTAGTTCAAATTGTTGACAAGATACCGGAGGCTATAGCTGTAACCCATAAAAGCTCCAAGGAGCAAGAGAAAGAGGTGGTACTCATTCAGGCACATATATGGATCCACATCAGCTGTACTGAAGCAAAACAGTCACATTAGTTATGACTGCAAAAGCAATGACTCTGCACTTAACTCTACTTTTAATGAATTCTTATCAATTTATTACATAATTTAGCAATTCAGATTTCCAGCAGTTTGCGCTAAGCCTCCTTTGGGAAGAAGGAAACCATCTTCCCTCATTCAAGCTTGGTCCTGCAGCACCTGCATTACGATCAAGGCCACAGAATGAGGTTGTGGAGGGACACAAGCTCACTCCTAAAGAGAAAGAGACAAGCTTTTATGCTAAAAGGGTGAAAACATACTTCTTGCAAATAAGAAAGTTCTGAGCTTACAAGGCAGATTAGTTAGTGTTGGGAAGTCTCTTAAGGGTCTACTTGCACACTTTCACAATAACGCTCAGCCTTTACATTTAACTGCTCCACAAATGCCAATATTGCATAGGCATTAGAAGGACAGAGTCACTCCTCTAGCAGGAGTGTGGCACATTTGAGTCTCCAGCCAATGGGGCTTTCCTAGGTTCCATTTCAACCATAGATGGAGGAGAGAACATGCTCAGCAGGAACTTGCAAATACTGCCTGAAGGTGAAACTAGACAATAAACTCTGCATGTATTTAGAAACAGTGCCACCTGAAGTGGTGAAAGACACCTGTTTACCACAGTACATGATTTTCTTTGCCTCTGTATTCTGGAATCTGACAAGCTTTGTTTTGAGACAAGTCCCTGGAAGGCAAATATAAGCTTACTTTCCAAGTCTGATTGCATTTCTGAGGGTATCTTGTTGCTGGAGGGAAAATGTGTTAATTGTAGAGACTACCACATTCCTCTAATTTGACCCTGAGAATTGTGCACTTCATTCTTCTTCCCCTTCCATACACAAGGAAGGAGGAATAAAACATTTTTCTATCTCTTACAGGTATCTGTAAGTCAGATGGAGAACTCCATAGATCAAGTGGAGCCTGGAGGATGGAGATTCTCCTCTTCTGCAACTGGTATTTGCAACTCTCAATAAAGTTACAGTAGGCTGGTGAGAGAAGATTATTTCCCTCCAAAACAAGATTCTGTCCTTTATGTCCTAAAAGCAGGAGAAATACAGTTTGTTTAAAAAGGAGGTAAATCTAGGACCTAGATGAATGCTTTTTAAAGAACCTGCTATAAGGAAATAAGTTATTTTCCCAAGAATAACTGATTTGCTGAGGCCTTTATCTTTGCCTGCTCTCTCTATGCATAGCAAGTGAATTTGGAGTGGTGGAAATAATCTTAAATTATAATAGTGAACTAGACAGAAATGTGCCATTCCTTGTTTGTTTTGGGGTGGGGTTTTTTTGGACTCCCAACTCCCAGAATTATTTGTGAGAGATATAGTTCTTTGGGACTACACCTCTACAGAGTCTAATGTGTGGCAATGAAGATCTAGACCTTTCAGGAAGCACTGGGGCAATTCTATTATTTTTTTACATTAACAACAGGAAACACAGGCCTCAGAAGTATCCATGATAGGCTATGTTCCAGGTGAATGAAATTTAGGTCTGTTTGTGGGCTGCAACTCATAAAAATTTGCCTTGGGAATATGTGAAAAATTCTGGGAGTAGGATTGCAAAAAGGGAAGGAGAAAAATGAATAATACCTCACTAATACTGCATTTTACCTACTGAAAAATGTTTGCAGTTTGTACTGTTCCGTACTTATAAAAAGCCTTACGTTTTTTATAAAACCTCTATAATAACCCAGTAGTCACCTTTCTGTAGCTGTACAAGGTACAGATAAGAAGAGGAACTTTCCTTTCGTCATGACAGCAGCACACCAAGCCACTAGCATTCCCATTACAGCGTGGGCAACTGAATGGATCACCTGCTGTGGGTGGATAATCTTGCTTATCAGTGCTAATCGAGAGCAAGGAATAGAAGGCACAACTGCAATGTGAGAAAAACAATTATTTTAGCTACCATTAAGCAAATCATGTAATTTTCCTTCCATTCCACACTTCAAGACATCAATTTCCAATAATCATTTCTCTTAATTTCAAGTGTTAGGAAGTTAACAACATGATGGAATGATTTTTCCAGGCAAGAAATGATAGGGAGATCCTGACTATACTGTCAAGGCAAAACAGAATTGGACAATGTGTGCTCAGAAAAATCTTTAAGGACTTATAGCAAGTGTTAGAATGATTGATCATTTACAAATAAGGAACATAAAGCACTACAGGATGCAAGTCAATTGTCTTTTTTATGCCATAAGACAAAACAGGCAATAAAATAAATTAATGAAATTATGCACAAAGTAGCAATCTATAAGGTTTACATTGCACATCTTTTCAACACTTACCTGTGTGAAATTCAACACTGAATATGTTTATTACCACTATCACCACAGACATCAGTAGTATACAAAATACAACATAGGAGGTATACAAATCATTGAAAGAACCTAAAACAAACAAACAAACAAAAAGAATTATTTTCTAGAGATGTACTATGTAACAGATCTGCTAGGAGAAGGAACAGGATGCACAAGTCTAAGGTTCAGTTTTTGCATATCAAGCTAACCCTAAGGAGTGATTCTACTGTCTCTAACCAACAAGGACAATGGGGTGATGAAATCTATAACCCAACACATCTAGAGAGGACAACATTGGAGGAAGCTAGTTCAGGACATGAGAAGGCAGTCACTGAGTTGCCTAAGTCAAGCCACTGTTTCCAACACCATCCTTGTACCTCCTAAATAGAGTATCAGCTTGCCTTGCAGAACTGTTGTTATGACTACCAAGATTTTATATATAGAAATCACTTTGAACAAAAGGCAACATAAATGGACTAACAGTATTATTTTGCAACACTTCTGTCTTAGACAGTACACTGTACATACTTGTGATCCATTGTATAGGATGGAATAAGTCAATACTGCTAATGCTGATAAAGACAGCAACACACAAAGGAAGCAGAAGCAGAGACCAAGCAATGCTTGCAGCTGCTCTCCATCCCAAGATCTATAAAGGAAAAGAAAAGAAATGTGTAAAATAGTTCTCTCTGCTAACTAGAGTGCAGGCCAATGAACTGCTTCTACATAAATTTGGTTTCCAGAAACACAACTGCAACACATTACTATTAATATCAACATGTTCACGTTATTTCATTTTTTACATGACCTGCAATAGGTTTCAGGAAACTAAGCCTCGTCAAAAACTATTGGCATTGTGTCCTGTGGCAAGAGCGATTATGCTCCTGAGCCATTTTGCCCTATGAAAAGTGAACTTGAAAGGGAAAAAATGACTTTAGGTAAGAAGGGAGATGCTTAAGGTTATGGTGTGGAAAAGTCACAACGTGACGATGATGTGATTTCAGAAATGTACTTTCAAAATTATAATAGACACATCATTCATGATACATGGGACAAAATTGTGGGAAAGGACCTGTGTTGCAAGTTTATATGGAGTTAGTGGAAATGTGGGCCCTTATCCTAATATTCCAGTGAGTTAAAGGCACAGTGCATTGAAACCTGAATACTGTAGTACATAGGGCTTTGCATTTCGACCTCTTTTCAGAACCTTATATAAAGCTTTGAACAGGAAAGGTTCCAGTGATGCATGGCAAGGGAACCAGCTCATCTTCAGATCCTAAGGCAGGCACAACCTGCCTGAGGATCTGGCTGCAGCAGAAGAAACCTATTTGGCTGCTCCTCTCCTGAACTGTTCTCATCAACACTCAATGTAATAAGTATTTTTATTACTTTAAGATGGCCTTCCCTAACCTGGCACCTTTGATATATTGGACTACATCTCCCATAATTCACACTAGCATTATCATGGATCACAGCTTTGGAGAAAACTGCTTTCAGAACTGCTGTCTGAAAATCTGTTTTTGACTCCATTTTCCTTTTCATTTTAGACTACAAGCCTGTAGAAAGACACCATTTTCTGAACTGTTATTCTAATAAAGCATTTTGTGTAAACCAAGTCTTCTCTAAACAGCAGATTAACATGCTTATCCACAAACCAAGCCCCTGAACATTCAGGCAATCTCCTTAAAGTACTGATGGGACTGATATATACTATTACAGTACTGAACAAGAGCTTCTAACTTTTATTTCCTTCTGTGTGAAGGCATCTTTCCTCACACTGCAACTTTGACTGTTATCCATACAAGCATCAGATATTCTGTTCTCCACCCCTAAGTCTCCAGAACTTGCTTTATAGAGATTTTTTATCCAGATAAAGAGGACCCATTCTGAACAGCTAATCTCAGTAACACAATACTAGCCAGTATGGCACCTTCTTAATATCAAGACCAGGCTGCCTTTTAACGTCTTGCACGCAAAAGTTCAACAGACACAAGCCTTCCCAGAGACAGTCAAGGCTAACCGATCCTCTGGAGCAGTTAACAGCTGCCATCGCTAAATGCACGAGACACTTTAAGAGGAGCTGAAAGTGGCAATCCTTCTGCTGACGATCCGCTGGCATTGAACACTGCCTACAATCCGTTTCTGCACTTTTTTTAAAAAAAAAATGAAAGAGTGAAAATTTAGTAAAACCAAGATGTTTTGTTAAAATAAACCGTACCGTTGCCTTCTGCTGACGATCCGCTGGCATTGAACACTGCCTACAATCCGTTTCTGCACTTTTTAAAAAAAAATGAGTGAAAATTTAGTAAAACCAGGATGTTTTGTTAAAATAAACCGTACCGTTGTGCTTAACAATTGGGAAGCAATTTACTGGTATCAGTCTACCCCCTAAATGAGGAACGTGGTGAAACACTTTTGCAGCATGATGATGATGATATCCCACACGAACGCACGTGTGGTTCCTATTTCTCGACTCCTATAAACATGATTCATTGGTGCGCACACACGTTTAATGTACACGCGTACAGTACGTCCCATAAATGCTCTCTTGATTCATACGTACATTATTTAGTCGTTCCCGCGTTGAATGAAACATCCCCGCACATTCTCCCATGCTGCAGGCGGAATATGAGTCGTATCAGTGCCCGTATGCTATCCCAGCAAGCCTTGTCGCCTTGCCCATAGTAGGCAGGAGCGTCAGTTACGTTTTAAATGCGCCTATCATTGTCCTGAGAGTTTGAGGAGCTGTTTTCAACGCAGAAATTTTGGAGTTTTGGGAAGGGGGGAGGGATCTCCAGGAAAAAGTGCGATATTCTTATTTACAGGTCCTTCTTTCCTCTCCCTCCCTTTTAAAAAAATGCTATTTCTGTCCTGTGTTTGATCGGGTGCCTGGAAACCCTGCAAATAAATTAACCTGTGCTACAACATTTTTTTCTTTATTTTTATTGTGCTTTTGCCTGTTATGCACTAGCACTAGTCACACTAGCATGACTACCTATTCTAAAACTACTACTCTTTTTTCAAGTTTTTCAACTTCCACGATCTGTGCTAAATCCACTGGGTGTATCCTTACTGTTAAAGCTGTACTTCGATTACTGCTGGAGGATTCAGCAGCGGTATCACATTTCAAAATGAAGCTAAAAGATTTTGAATAAGGAATTCAAACCAAATTGTTTGAATGGGCACTTTTAAAAAAAACACACAGTGTAAATATATATGCAGAATTCCAAACCTCCTCCTCTTGATTTTTTTTTTTTTTGGGGGGGGGTGAGAACAAAGTATGGAAAACATTATAATCAGGGCTAGACATATAATATTTCCGAAAAACTCCACTTTTCCGTGACAAAAACAAAAAACAAAACACGGTTTCCCTCGTTGTTTTCGGAAATTTTTTACATCTCTAATCATGGTCCTTTGGGTATTTGATTCGCAGTTCACCCCAGCTCTCAGAAGCTATTCGAATCTATTCGATCTATTTAGTTCACTGCTATTTTGCTATACATACTGTATATTATAGGTGCATTGTTACGGTGTTCGCCTTAACTACAGCTTTTTGAAGGAAGCCAGGTACTGTTACCAGCTTATTTATGGGGGCAGAGCATCTAAAGCAGATGAGATTGACCCGCCTACAACCATAGGAGCCTCTTAGGTACTGTATGCCTGTCTCTGAAGGATTTATGTGCCTTTAACGACGGATAAAAATCCAGCGGACAGAGAAATTGATTGCTGCGAGATAGTATGTTCGCTGAATTTCTCCTTATCTCCATAAAGGATAAAGGCGAGGAACCCTTCCCAGAAGGAAGACACACAGTAGCCGTCCTGCTCCTCTCTGAGGGAGCGAGAAAGCAAAAGGCATCTAGGTCCTTTCTCACTGCCTAACGATTTATTCGAAGAGTAGCATTAGAATGGAGAACATTCTTTCTGAATGTCATCTGAATGCCTCCCGGGAATCCAGAGAGTGAGGTGGAACCCACGTTTACTCGGGAGAAACCTTCGCTCTCGGGATTTCCTTCCGACCGAGAGCGTTGCATAGGCTTGCACTCTGTCCATAACAAGGCCTTTTTGAAAAACTGCTTTAACGCCCAAGGCACTTCTTCTGCTTTAAGCTTTTGCGTCGCTAATGCAGTTTACGCCGCGGGTCGCGCGTTCTCTAGGCGCGTGCACGCGGGGCGGCCAAGAAATATCGCTGCCTGTCTCTTTAAAAAGGAGCGGATGAGGCAAGGCACAGCCTGCGCAGGTTGATTTGTAATACAACAGGACTTAAACGGGAATCTCTCTTGTCACTTTAAGGGAGACCGCCGGGGGGGAAGGGCGCGCCATTCGTAAAGCTTCCGGCAACACAAGACTTTTCTGACGCGACGTTTCTCATCGTTGCTTTGCAACTTGCAGGTAGTAATGGCGCCGCCTTGTGGGGTGGATGGGGACTAGAGAGTGGCCTGGGTTTGGAGGCTTCGTACGTGAAGAGAAAGGAGAGAGGGAAATGCGTAATGGGGTGGGGGAATCCTTTCCCCCTTCCCGATGCCTTGGCGCGGAGATGTCTCCTTTAAACGATATTAGCAAAGCTTTAGTAGGGCTATTATCCGTATATCTGTGAAGGCAAGGACGTTGACGCGTGTTGTAAACCAGTCAGTCTGTTTGTTAAAAGGGTTGGACTCGGTCTCTATTGATACAGATCGGGTTCTCTGTAATATGCTTTTTTCTTGTTTTGTCGTTAAGTCGTGTCTGGCTCTTCGTGACCTCGTGGACCAGAGCACGCCAGGCCCTCCTGTCTTCTACTGCCTCCCGGAGTTGTGTCAAATTCATGTTGGTTGCTTCCATGACACTGTCCAACCATCTCATCCTCTGTCGTCCCCTTCTCCTCTTGTCCTCACACTTTCAGGGTCATTTCCAGGGAGTCTTCTCTTCTCATGAGATGGCCAAAGTATTGGAGCCTGAGTTTCAGGATCTGTCCTTCCAGTCAGCACTCAGGTTTGATTTCCTGCAAATGGAAAGGTTTGTTCTCTTTGCAGTCCAGCACCACATTCAAAAGCATCAATTCTTTGGGGGCCAGCCTTCTTTATGATGCAGCTCTCACTTCTATACATCACTACAGGAAAAACCATAGCTCTGACTTTGCGGACCTTTGCCAGCAAGGTGAGAACTCTGCTTTTTAAGATGCTGACCAGGTTTTTTCATGGGTTTCCTCCCAAGAAGCAGGTGTCTTTTAATTTCGTAGCTGCTGTCACCATCTGCAGTGATCATGGAGCCCAAGAAAGTAAAATCTGTCACTGCCTCCATATCTCCCCCTTCTATTTGCCAGGATGTGATGGGACCAGTGGCCATGATCTTAGTTTTTTTGATGTTGAGCTTCAGACTATTTTTGTGCTCTCCTCTTTCACCCTCATTAAGAGGTTCTTTAATTCCTCCTCACTTTCTGCCATCAGAGTGGTATCATCTGCATATCGGAGGTTGTTGATATTTTTTCCAGCCATCTTAATTCTGGCTTGAAGAACTTGCCATAGTTTGTTGTGATCCACACAGTCAAAAAGGCTTTTGTGTAGTCAATGAAGCAGAAGTAGACATTTTTCTGGAACTCGCTGGCTTTCTCCATAATCCAGTGCATGTTAGCAAT